AGCACTAATAACCCTCAGGCATTGGCGTCACCCTCAGCAGGAGCGAGGGGCAGGAGCAGAAACCTGGGCCTGGAGAGAAAAGGGAGCAGAGGGAGGTGCCCGACAGGAGAGAGCCCTCGGCTGGGGCCTAAAGCCCAGCCCAGGTGGCCAGTGGAGGGGCTGGGGGAACAGACTCTGACCTCACTTTTTTCCTTCCTCCGCTGCCCATGGTGGTCAACACTGGCCAAGCAGCACTAAGAGCCAGAGGTCAAGGGAGTGACCTCTGTGGTCTACATGTAACCAGGAAGGACCTTGAAGGTCTCCCCATGGACAGACCACCTTGGGTCCCCTGTCTCTTGTTTGCAGAGAAGTTTTAGTCTCCTAGGCCTTCCCTTATATCCAAAAAAGCAAATTTAATCAGATAAATGAGGAAATGCAAAAACAAAGGAAATGTCAAGGAAGATACTAATTTAGTCATAGAACAAAGTTGAGGACCTTTCATTCCTCCTCACGGGCTGTAGGTAACACCCTGAGCCATGTCCTTGAGATGTTTGCCGTCACTGAAAGCCCTGCCGGGGGCAGAGGTTAACTGCCTGCTGCCTGTCAGCATGAAGACCCCAGAACAATTGGAACCAGAAGGTTCATGATGCTAATTCCCAAAATACCACCTGGTTATCTCACCACCAGCCAATCAGGAGGGTGTGCACAAGCTGCTCACACATGCTGAGACCCTTGCCCTTCGTCCTGCCTCTCAAACCCCTGCCCTGAGAGTCTTTGTGGAGTTGGGGTCTTTTGAGCCTGAGCTTCCTTGTTGGGCCCCATCTTGGACACCTTGCAATAAACACTGCACTTTGCTTCACCACAAAGGCTGACTTTACTGCCTACAGCCGGGCTGACCCAAGTTTGGCTCAGCAACAGCGCACAGCATAGGGCAAAGTGGGAGGGGTGGAGGGGGTGAGGGGGCAGATAGGAAGTATCCACACGGCTTTCAGAGTCCCACTTCAGCTGTGACCTCTCCTCTGAGCTTCTGTCACGATATCCAACACAACCTCTCCAGTTCTGTGTGAAATACAGAATCCCGTGACCAGCAATCCCGTCTCAGTAAAGAGCATCAGCCAATAGTTCTCTTTCACATCTCACAGCAAACACAGCAGCCCTTCAGTCAGCCCTGCAGGGGACCGCTGGGTGTCACACCCCTCTCCGGGCTCCTGTGAGAATCTCCGGGCTGGCTCCCCCTTTCTCTCTGCGACAGGCCTTTCCCCCACTCCCAGCTGAGTGAGCCCCAGTTTTCTTTGGCGCTACAGTCTCCCCACCTCCGTGGACTGTGGGTCCCTGTTCTCACGGCCCCACCTTCTTGAAGCCAGGAGTGGTACATGGCCCTGGTCTGCCCAGTGGAGTTTGAAGATAAATTACCTGGGGAGCCTCTGAGAGAATTTTCCTTTGTTATAAAACAATGTAATTTTGTTTATTTCTTTGAAATGTATGTCCTTACAGATGGCCAATAGGCACATGAAGAGATGCTCAGCATTGCCAATTATTAGAAAAATGAAAACCAGAAGAAGAGGTGCCACCTCACACCAGTCAGAAAATCCACAAATAACAAGTGCTGGAGAGGGTATGGAAAAAAAGGAGCCCTCCTACACTGTTGGTGGGAATGCAAATTGCTGCAGCCACTGTGGAAAACAGTATGGAGCATCCTCAAAATACTGAAAATAGAGTTGCACATGATCCAGCAATCTCACTCCTGGATATATATATCCAAAAAAACTCTAATTTGAAAAGATACATGCACCCCTACATTCACAGCAGCACTATTTCCAATAGGCAAGGCATGGAAGCAACCTAAATGTCCCTGGACAGATGAATGGATAAAGAAGATGTGGTATGTATAGACAATGGAATACTTGTTTGTTGCTGTTCACTTGATCAGTTGTGTCCAACTCTTTGTGACCCCGTGGACTGCAGCATGTCAGGATTCTCTGTCCTTCACCATCTCCTGGACTTTGTTCAAACTCATGTCCATTGAGTTGGTGATGCGATTCAACCATCTTGTCCTCTGTTATCCCCTTCTCCTCCTGCCTTCAATCTTTCCCAGCATCAGGGTCTTTTCCAATGAGTCCGCTCTTTGCATCAGGTGACCAAACTATTGGAGCCTCAGCTTCAGCATCAGTCCTTCCAATGAATATGCTGGGTTGATTTCTTTTAGGATTGACTGGTTTGATCTCCTTGCAGTCCAAAGGACTCTCAAGAGTCTTCTCCAGCACCACAGTTTAAAGGCATCTATTCTTTGGCACTCAGCTTTTTTTACGGTCCAACTCTCACATCCATACATGACTACTGGAAAAACTTTAGCTTTGACTAGATGGACCTTTGTCAGTAAAGTAATGTCTTAGCTTCTTAGGTTGGTCTAGGTTGGTCATAGCTTTTCTTCCAAGGAGTAAGAGTCTTTTAATTTCATGGCTGCACTCACCATCTGCAGTGATTTTGGAGCCCAAGAAAATGAAGGCTGTCAGTGTTAATGTTTCCCCATCTATCTACCATGAAGTGATGGCACCAGATGCCATGATATTCATTTTTTGGATGTTGAGTTTTAAAGCCGGTGGTGCTGGAGGAGGAAATGGCAGCCCACTCCAGTGTTCTTGCCTGGAAAACCCCACAGATGGAGGAGCCTGGGAGGCTGCAGTCCATGGCTGAGCGACTTCACTTCACTTTCTCCCGACGGCTCCTGATGAGTGAGACCGGAGCAGAAAGTCGCTGGCTTATTGGCTGGAGAGGGTGATGGGTGAAAACTGAGGGGTGCTGGGAGGTTCGGGGCTATGATCTCCCTTCAAGTGCGTGGCTGGCCTGAAATGCAGAAGGTCCCAGGGTAGGACAAAGCCAGAGGCCAAAATGGCCAACTCCAGGGGCGACCAAGTTTGGAAACTGACAGATGTTTTCAGAGAAGAATAAAATGTAAAGCCCCCCCCTCCCCCGCCCCAAATAAAGCCGGCGGCGCTTTGGTGGGGCTGGTGGCGGCCTCCTCCGAGAGGCCTTGGGCCACATGCTGTGCCTGCAGGACCGCTGCTGTTGGAGCCCTTGTCCCTGGGGCAGGCCGCTGCTGACCCATGCCTCTGCAGGAGACACAAACACTCAAAGGCAGGTCTGCCTCGGTGTCTTGTGAGGATCACTGCTCCTTTCCCTCTGTTCTGTTGCTCACAAGGTTTTGTTTGCACCCTCCAAGCATCTCTGGCGGGTATGAGATTTGATTTTAAATGTGATTGTGCCCCTCCTACCATCTTGTGGCAGCTTCTCCTTTGTCCTTGGTTGTGGGGTATCTCTTTTTGGTGGGATCCAACATTCTTCTGTCGATGGTTGTTCAGCAGCGAGTTGCAATTCTAGTGTTTTCGCAGGAAAAGATGAGCACATGTTCTTCTACTCCTCCATCTTGAAACAGAAAACATAATGGAATACTACTCAGTCATGAAAACGACATACTGCCATTTGCAGCGGTGTGGATGAACCTGGAAGTTATCATTCTAAGTCAGACAGAGAAAGAGAAATATCACATGATATCACTTATATGTGGAATCTGAAATATGATACAAATGAACTTCTCTATGAAAAAGATACAGTCTCGTAGACATAGAGAATGGATTTGTGGTTGCCAGTGGAAGGTAGGAGAGGGATGGGTTGGGAGTTTGGGATTAGCAGATGTGAACTATTTATTATATATAGATATAAATGAAGCACTTTGCTGTACACCAGAAACTAACACAACTTTATAAATCAACTATACTTAAAAAAAAAAAGTCCTTTTTACACATGCTTATTCCTTCCTATCTGAGACAGAGGTATAAAGACATGATGCCTTGTGCTATGGCAGCCACCTTGGGCCATGAGGTGACAAGCTTGAGGATAAAAGGTGTGCATGGTGGCCTTAGGAGGGAAGAGAGATGGGAGGAGTCTGTGTCCCTGAAATGGCGCACTTTCTGACTTCTGGTGAAGCGAGGTTAGAACTGTGCTGCATAGCCACTGACACCGGGGGCTGGGCTGCTAGCCTCCGGACACACCCCCGGGGATGCACACACCGCAGCTTGCAGTCTGGTCCCCACCGAGCGGCCAGAGGGACCCTTTTAGAGAAGGAGTCAAATGACGACTTGTCTGTTCCAAACTCTCCTCTGACTTCCCATCACACTAAAAACGGCAGCCAGAGGCCAGACCTCAGTCTGCCTGGCCCCGATATTGCCATCCCAGAGTCTCTGCGCTCAGTGTCCTGTCTCATTCTACACTCAGGTCCACTCAAGGACCATCTCCTGAAAGCCGTCTCCCCTGACTCCTGTCCTCACAGCCCTGCTGCTGATGCTGTGGTGGTGCCGACTGGCAGTTTGTGCACTGGTGGTGGAAGGGAGGCTTGGCTTACCTCCTCTGTCGCTGATTCGGGAAAGGCTTCTTATTTGAACACTGTGAGGTCCAGATGAGCGAAGAGTATGTGAATCCAGAACTGGGCTGGGCACAAATAAGCCCTGTGAGAACTCTACCCTTGTATAAGAATGTCTGCTCCCTAAAGGCAGAGCCGGGAGCTTAGCGCCTGGCATCTAATGGTGCTTGGTGGAGATGTTGGCTGAAGAGCATACAAGATCTCTTTAAATTTTTATTGAGGGAATGGTGGAACACAGAAATCTCTGAATTGAGGTTTGGGAGCTGATTCAGTGTGTGTTGATGGGAAGGTCTAGGACAGATTGAGGGAGGAGGAGCCCAGGAGAGGGCTGTGCGTTCTGAAAACCCGAGACCAGGAGTTGACAGCATCCTCTCTCTTGACGCCGAAGACCCCGAAATGAAGGCAGGAGAGAACCTGGCCGTCAACGTCTTCTTGGAAGAGCCCGGTGGTCGCAGCGAGGGGGAGGGGAGTGGGCGATGTGGCCGCTGGGAGGACTGAGGTGTGGAAAACCTGAGGAGCAAGGGGCTCCCCCACCCCACTTTGGGCGACAGCATCTCGGAGCTGGCGATGCCTCCGGTGTGTGTGTTGGCGGTGGGGGGGNGGGGGGCTGCAGCCGGGCCAGCGGGTCCTCTACAAGCAGTCGATCGCGCAGCGCGCAAGGACCATGGCGCTGTACAACCCCATCCCGGTCAAGCAGAACTGCTTCACCGTCAACCGCTCGCTCTTCGTCTTCAGCGAGGACAACGTCGTCCGCAAATACGCCAAGCGCATCACCGAGTGGCCATATCCTGCCGGGTGCCGGGCCGGGTGGGGGCCAGGGGCCGCCCGAGGTCGCGGGAACGGGGACGGGGCGCGGCGTCCGGCGTCTGCGCCTTGCGGGGTCTGGGAGGGGCGGCCTGGGCTGGGGGCTTGGGAGGGGTCCGGCGCATGCTGCGCCCAGTGGCCATCTTTCCCCGGGCTGGAGGAGGGTGCGCCCTGGGGAGAGGCGCATCGGGTCGCTCGGCGAGGAGGGGGCGGGGCGGATTCCGGGCCCTCTCGGCGCGCCGCGTGTGCGTGCGTGTTTTTGTTTCTCTCTGTGTGTGTGTGTGTGGTCGTGGTGGCGGCGGCCGCGGGAGCGGGGTGGGCGCTGGGCGGAGCCCCCTGCCCCTGGGCTCGTCCCTTCTCTCCGTCGATGCCGGCGCAGAGCGCGTGGCCAGCTTGGAGGGCACCCGAGGGCGAATCGGTGTCCGTGTAGGTGTGAGCGCCGGGTGGAGGCGAGCCCGTGCGCGCGCCTGACTGCAGGTGCCCGAGTGTGTGAGGGCAGAGCGTGAACCCGGTGCTGCGCGTGCGTGCGCTCGGGACTCTCGGTACATGGGTGTTCACGTGCCTGTGTAGGTACATGTGGCTGCGTGTCTTGAGGTAGTGTGCGCCTGCGCTGGGTCCTTCCTCCCGCCGCGCGCGGGGGGCGCACAGCCCCCTCTCTCGGGGCGCGGGTATCGGGCGGAGCCGCGGATGGAACACTATCCGTGGTGCTGACGGCCGCGGGGACGTGCTGAAGCGCTGGGAGTCGGGCGGAGCGGCGCAGGGGCGCTGTCCGTGGTGCTGACGGCCGCGGGGACGTGCTGAGGGGCTGGCGGCTGCGACTGCGGAGGCGGCCCTCGCGGCGCCCCGAGAGGGGCGGGAAGGGTGGGGTGGGCTCCGGACCTGGTCGTTCTCAGGCCCTCCGGAGGCGGCCGGGCTCGGCGGCTGTACTGCGCGCTGCCGGCCTCGGCCTCCTCGCCTCTCCTCTTGGGCGCCTCCTGGCTAGTCCTTGACCCACGCACTCCGTTCGAGTACATGATTCTGGCCACCATCATCGCCAACTGCATCGTGCTGGCGCTGGAGCAGCACCTTCCAGACGGAGACAAGACGCCCATGTCCGAGCGGCTGGTGAGCGCTGTGGCAGCGGGGCCCGAGGGCGCGGCGTGCGGGGGCGGCGGCTGGTCTGCTTCTGCGACCCTTCAGGACCCGGGACAGGGCAGCTTCCTCGGGCTGTGTTGTCTGGGCAGCTAACACTTCCCTCAAGGGTCAGGAGGAATGGGACAGCCCACTCAGCCCCTGCTGGGGGCCGGTGGCTCGAGGGAGGCCGTTTTAGCCAGCAGCTGCTCTGCCAACCCTACACCCGTCCCGCCCACGCGGACTTAGCCGTGACCTAAGAAACTAAGAGCTAATGCTGGCACGTGAGGGGGCCTTCATGATGGCCCAGGGTCTGGTGGGCTCTGGCCCAGGTGCAGCCCTGGTTGTCCCCCTCTCTGGCTCTGCTTGGGTCGCCTTCCCTGTGGGGCCTTTGCTTCCCATGGACGCACTCCTTCCCAGGTTTTCTTCCCAAACATGCCCAAACATAGTTCTCACCCGCTCCTGCCAGGAGCTCCCAGACCCCGTGTTTCCCCTGTTGAAGCACTGAGCCCACGGGAACCAGGGTGCTAGGTCAGGGCATCTGGAGGGGCTGGGGCAGAGGCAGGGTGCTGCTTGAGGAGGCAGGCCCCATTCTGAAGGTGAGGCTGTGTCTCCTAGCCCCTCTGCCCGGGCTTGATGTGGGCTCACTGGGGCCTGAGAGACTGAGCTTCAGAGCAGAGAGAAGGGAAGCACACGCAGGGGCTGGAGGGTGCTGCAGTCCTCGGGTCCCTGAAGAAAGAGACACTTCTGGGGACACCAGCTGAACCCTTTTCTCCACATCCTGGCAAGAGGCTGTTCTTCCAAACTTCTTTCCTTTACTTCAGCAGAGATAAGCGTTGATGAAGCAGAGCCGGTTCTGTGCTTGGCGTGGGCCTTGAGCTTCAGGCCAAGGGGTGAAGCAGAGGAGACAGTAGGCTGCCCTGGGGGTGCTCTACTTTGGGTGGGCACCTCAAGAAGGCAGAGGAGTGACAGCTGGGGTGACCAGCCAAGAGATGAGGGTTTGTGGGTCGGCTGTTTCTCCAGGCACAAGAACGGCTGAGGGGTTTCAGTTGTGGGTCCGGAGGGGGAGGGTTGTGAAGGGCATACTGACAGAGTGGAGGGTGGTCTCGGTGGGTGACTCCTGTCCAGACATGGAGCTAGACAGGCTCACTTACCCTCTTTGGGCCCCAGGTTTCTGCTGGTGATGGGGCCTGTGGTCTGCTGTGAGTTTGGTGGTGGGTGCCCGTTCTGACGGCTGGAGAAGAGGGTGAAAGAGAGGAAACGGGTTTCTGGCAGGGAGCCTCGAATGCCAGGCCACAGGGCGTGGCAGGAGTGGGGCCAGAGGGAAACAGGCTGAGGGTGGCAGGGGCATGGAGGCCTGTGAATGGCAGTCAGGCTTGGGCCTTCCTCCTGGGCAGCAGGCTTGAGTAGGCCAGTGTGCATCCAGCCTCACAGGTGAGGGACAGTTTGCTTTGTGGTGATGGGGGTCTGTACACTTGTAAGGGTTGAGGGTTGAGCAGAATGTGCTCACCCCCACAAGGCCTGGTGGCCCTGAGATGGATGGAGGCTGAACACAGAGGGCCTGGGGAGCAGGCGCAGTGGTGGTCCCAGATCAGGTCTGGAGGCTGGTGCTGCTGCCAGAGGCTGGGAGGGGCTTTGTGGTGCAGAGGCAGCTGCCCTGGAGTGGGGCCTCCGCAGTTCTGCTTCCCACCCACCTGTCAACCCACCACTTGGCCTTTAGCTGGAGCCCCCAGCTCACAGTCTCACCCCTCCCCCGAGCCAGCCCTTGCTGTGTGGTCAGGGGTGGGGCTGGGAGCAAGGGGTCTGGGAAGGGGCCCCACTCCACCTCCTCATGTCGGCCAGCTCTTCTCCTGTGACCCCAGAGTTTCTCTGAACATGTTTGCTGGGGCCCTGTGTTTATTCAGGGTAGGTGGTTGGTAGCCTCTTCTCTTGGGGAAAGGGGACCCTTTGACTGAACCAGACCAGAAGCATTGGGGAGGGAATATCCTCGTGAGTCAGCAACAGGGCAGTAGGATGGGGGAGCTGGGCTGTGATGGACGCTTCACTGCCTGGTCCCTCGGGGCAGCAGCTGCTGCCGCACGCTGCTACCAGCAGCCATGGGCCAGGAGGCCAGGCTGAGGGCTCCCCAGGTCGGACGGGAGAGCCCTGGAGGCCAGGCTCCTTGGGCGAGGAAGGCACAGGCTGCCGGTCCGCAGTGGGAGCAAGCAGCCCCGCAAGAGTCAGCCTGGCTCTCCCCTCCCTGGGCGCTGAGGCCAGGCCTCTCCCTGGCAGAGCAGCCTCTGGGTGGCGGGGCCCACAGTCCTGAGAGCAGGACCCGCCTGCCTCCTCTTTGTCCTCTTGTGTCCGTGGCCTGCGCTCGGGCTGTTTCCCTTGCTGACCCTCCTCCTCCAGTGCCCCCTCGGTCCCGCTCCTGGGGTCGCCTGCACAGAGGCTCTGTCTGCCCCTGCCCCCAGCCTGTGACATCCCAGTGCTCCCCGAGTCCCCACAGCCCATCCCCAGCGGGCCTTGGCACCCGCGGGCCTGCTCCCCGTCCCAGTGCTGCTGCCTGTTGTCTCCACCCAGAACTCCTGTCTTGGTCACCCAGCTGGATGCCTTGCCCTCCAGGGGCTCCCTGAGGCCCACCGTGTTTGCCCACACCAGAATGTGCGTGTTTTGAATATGCAGCAGGTGTGTGCTGAGCGAGCGAGCAGGTCTTGGGCTGTGCTCCGGGGAGCTGGGCATGGTCCCTGCCGTGGTTTGAGCCCAGGGTCAGACCCGGTCACCTCTGGCTTGGAATCTGGCTCTGCCTCTCGTAAGCTGAGAGTCTCTGGCCCAGTTCTTTGATCTCTCTGTGCCTCAGCTCCCCCTTGGATGGGGATGATAGCAGTGCTCAGTGCCTGCGGGATGGTGTAAGAGGGTTGCCCTGGTGATTGCAGGAAGCCCCTCACATGTTTTTATTGGCAGTATTGCTCACTCTGTGGTAGGGTATCGGGGGGGGGGAGCCCCTCCCCACGTGACTGGGTGTCACTGGCCGTGGGGACAGGGCCACCTCGTGTTAGGGGAGCCTGGCAGAGAGCACCCAGGCCCGTGCTGAAAGGACCGAGTCGGTGGGTGTCATGGCAGGGCTGGGGGCCCTCGCCGGCACGTCCGGGCAGTGGTGACCTTGCTCTGTGCTTCTCAGGATGACACAGAGCCCTACTTCATCGGCATCTTCTGCTTCGAGGCTGGGATCAAGATCATCGCGCTGGGCTTTGTCCTTCACAAGGGCTCCTACCTTCGGAATGGCTGGAATGTCATGGACTTCGTGGTGGTCCTTACGGGGTAGGTGCTGGGCCTGGGGTACCCTGTGCATGGAGTGCGTTCGGGCAGCACTGTCCACACTGGGGGCTGGTGCTTCTTGGTGGTCTTCATGGATAGACAGGCATTGTTCCTCCCTGGGAAGAGCCTGGGCTGTGATCTTGGCTGAGGGGCTGTCGAGGAGATTTGTCCTCGGCAGAGCTTGCTTGCGGAGCTGTTGGTGCTGTGGTCAGGTCCGCAGGGCAGGAAAGGCACTGGGCCTGATTTTGTAAATCCTGGGCTGCAGCCTGGCCTCTTTCACCCCATGACCTGGGGGACACATGTGCGCGTCCGAGTCTCCTGCCTGAAGGGTTCGTGGACACGTGCTCCTGGAGCTGTGCTTTGGTGAGGCTGTGCCTCCGTAGTCACAGCTTCTGGTTCCAGGAAGGTGCTTAATCAGTGTTCCATCCCCCACTTTCCTTCTCAAATAGACTCTAATAATCACCAGCTTGTGGTTCCCCAACAATCCAGGAGATCCAGAAAGTCGCCTGAGCCTGGGCCGGGGAGGGGGAGGAGTGGGCAGAAAGCCTGTCTCCTCATCCCAGGGCCCCCAGCCTTCGGGGCCTCAGTCTCTCCACCTGCCTGATGTTATTCAGGGCCTCTGCCCTGTTCTGAGGTTGAGCTGCCATTGCCCCAGCTCTGGGCTGCCCTCCATCTCCGGCTGGGGTGGGGGTAAGCACCTGGGGTTTGCTCCAGAAACCTGTTTGCACAGTCCAGGTCCCAGAGGCCCCGGCCCCGGGACTGCAGCAGCTCCTCCTGGAGCCTTCTTGCCGAGAGCCCCGCTGTGGCCCAGAACTCTCTTTCCAAGGGACAGGTGGCTGTGGCCAGGGCTCCTGTGCTACATATGGGGATAAACAGACTTGGCCACATGGCCTCTGGGCTCCCAGATAAGACCCTCAGTGCAAGTCCCGTTCCGTCCCCGGGCCCGTCCTCAGAGGCCGGCTCTCTGTCTGCTTGCACGGCTGCTGATGGCTCCAGCAGTGCCCGCAGCATGCCCAGCACAGGCCAGAATCGAGGTGCCTCGCTTTCAGAGGGTCTCTCCCTGGAGATGACCGAGGAGCTGGTGGGCCTCATGCGGTCTTTGTGGGTGGCACCAGCCTGTCACTGGCTCTGATGAGATGGGCACCACTGAAATTGGATATAATAGGCTGGGCAACTTTCTAATCTGTTCCATTTTTCCTAATGACCAAGGAGGGAAGGGAGCAGGGAGCCTTTTGTTGGGAGTTGTGCCATCCTGCCATGTGGTGCTCACCGTCCACATCTGTCTGCTGCCTGAGGGCAGGTTGCCATGGGGGTTTGTACAGAGAGCCCTCTGAGATCCCACTGATGGGGCATGGTGGTGAGTGTGGGCCCTTGGGGGGCAGGGTATGCCTTGCAGTCCATTGGGTGCTGCGTGGGCTGTTGAGAAGTGTCACTGGCTGTTTACATCTCTCTCCCTCTAGACCCGTGTCCCTGAGGATATGAACGTATTATTTTTTAGAGTGTCCCCAGAGTGTAGCTTAGGGCGGGCCCTCAGGAGGGTCAGGGAGTGTCTTCTGAATTAATGGGCTATTGAAGCTCGGGTGCTCTGTGCTTGAGCCAGCTGGGAGCTGGTGAGGGTGGTGGGACCGGCCTCTGGGGGTGCTGTCCGTGGTGCTGTTTGGGCTGCTGGGAGCAAGGTGGGGAGGTCCACGCCAACCCCTTGGCAGGACCCCCGAGTCTTCCAAAAAACATATCCTGATTCCAGGTTCAGGGAGCCTGGTCCCCCCGTGAGGGCTGGGAGACCTCCAAGGGTGGCTGCTTTCTCTTGCCTGTTGACCACACTCCTGGGCACAGGAGAGAATAGGACGGCTCACCTTCCTGGAGCCCCAGCAGGGGGATCCCAAGGGTCCCAAGACCGTAACTCTGCCCCCCGCCTTGCCTCGGAGATCCTGCCCTCAGTCCATCTGTCTCTGCCTCTCCTCTCTCCTACCTTCACGTAAGCCTCTATCCCGCCTGCCCTCCCACTGTGTCTCGTCTCCCCTTCTCTCTGTCTCTCTCCCCCCCTCCCCCGTCTTAATTTATTGGTCTTTGTCTCCCTATTTCTAAGCTGCTCTGCATCTCTGCTTTTTTACCTCTATTTGTTTATCTCTCGATGTTTCTCCTTCTCTGTCTTTTGCTTTCTCTCTCTTATTCTTCCTTTGCCTTTCTCTTTCTGTTTGTTCTGCCCCTCTCGTATGGGCCGTGGAGTCTCTGCTATCACTGTGAGAGGAGGGCTGGGAGTTGGCACCGAAGGTTTCTAGGCTCCCTCTCTCTGCTCCTTGTCTGCAGGGATTGTTCTGGGTTGGGAGGGAAGCCCCCAGATGGGGAAGGTGGTCTGTGTGCCATGGGGGCTCACATGCTGCCCAGAGTCGTGTGGGGGAGTTGCTCTGCTGCTCTTGCTTGCAGCCCCTGGGGACTGGCGATGTGTGTACATGTGTATGTATGCATGTGCGCACATATGTACGCCTGCACTGCATGTGTGTGCATGCACGCACATGTATATGTGCACATGTGTGCAGTGGTGCACACATGTATATCTGTGCATGCGCACATCCGCGCACACACTTGTGCATCTGTTCATGCATGTATGTTTACACACATGTGCGTTTACATGTGCACAAGTGTGTATAGATGTGACTGTGCACACGTGTATGTGTGTGTACAAACATGCAACTGAGCACCCGTGTGTGTGTGTGCATGTGCACAGCTGTGTGTGCATGTTTGTGTACATGTGTGTATGTGTGGTGCATGATAGAAGGAGGCCTTGTCTGTTTTTGGGGTGAGTGCTGGGCCTGGGGAATCCACAGAAGAGCCCTAACCCTCCTGAGTTGAGGTGCCTGTGGGGAGCCATGGGGACACTGTTTCTCATTACTCTGTTGTTTTTAATTAGTGTTTACTTAATTGGTACTCAGAGGGCTGGAAGCCCCATGGTGAACAGGGAAGGCCATGTTGCCTGGTGAAGCTTGACTTGTCCCCGAGGCCAGCTGGGCTTGCTTCTGCTTCTGGGGCTGGCATGCGGGGCGTGGGAGGTGCCCTGGGTGGGACTGTGACCCCACCCTGCATTGGGGAAGCCTCTGAACCTCATACACTCACCTGTAAGCTATGCCTGGGCACAGCCTTGGCATTGCGGGGGGAGAGCGATACAGCACCCGTCCTGCCCACGGAGAGGGGCAGGGCTGTCCTGGGTGCAGTCCCTGGTCTGCACACTTCCAGCCACGTGAGCTGCCCTCGTCTGGTGCTGCCCTGCCCACTGGTCGTCCTTTGATCGCTGTTTATTCAGAATCAGGCTGAGGATACAGCAGTGAACAAGACCCCCCGTCCCTGCCCTGCGGGCTGCATTCTCAGGGTACCTGGTCTCCCTGGCCCTGCCCTATTTCCTCTAGGTGTCCAGAGGCTCAGCAAGGGCTGAGGGCACAGGCTCATGGCACATCGTGGGGCTTGGGGATGGGTGTGCTGTGGAGACCACTCCTCGCTGACAGTACAGGCTTCATTTTCCCATGTAGGAACGGGGTTCAGGAGAGCACGATGTGGTCTGGATGGCTGTGGCTTGGTGTAGGCTCAGTAGTAAGGGGCTGAGCCTGCTAGGTATTTGGTGAGAGGCTGTGGCTGACGGGGTCAGTACCAGAACACAGGTGTCTCCATGGCCTTTAGAGCTCAAGATCAGACAGGACCCCCAGGGCTGGGGTCTGGAGAAGAAGCTGTCTGTGGGTGAGCCTGGGGACTCCAGAGCTGGTAGGTTGGGACTGGCCAGTGAGGTGGATGGGGACAGTGTTTTAGGAAGGAAGAGCGTGTCCTTCTTGAGCAGGAGTGCGGGGAGGATGGACCACTGAGTGCAGCGACAGGCAGCCTGCGGGTGAAGGGTCCTCGTAGATGCCCTGCACGGAGGCGCCTGCAGGCCCAGAGAGGCGGTGGTGGGCACCCAGGCCAGCTCTTCCACCTTCAGGGGAGTTTTTCAGCAAAGCTGGGCAGAGAACTGGGCAGTGGTGGGAGGGAGAGGAGGGGCAGAGGGTTTAATCAGGCGGGGGCCACAGCCTGGCCCAGGAGGCAAGAATAGCAGCGGTGCAGCCGGCGTGCTGGAGTGACGTCTGGGTGGACGAGGGCAGCTGGGACCCTGGAGTCCCTGCTCATCTCTCTGTGACTTCAGTAAGCAGAGGTCGAGCTGAGTGCGTGTGCTGGGTTGTCAGATGAGAAAGCAGGGGTGGGGCGAGAGCCATCCTCTGGTGCTCTGCATGCCCATCAGCTGAGGCTGGTGTGGGTCACAGGTGGAGTGCGCGATGGAGGGACTGGCTTGCGGTCAGAGTGAGTGAGGACGCCCTCTGCCCGGCCTCTCACCTTCTTCTGGGCTCCCCTGGCTGGTCACCTTCCCGTCTCTCCCCATTGACCCTCTGGCTGGCTGCCCATCCCCTCGTTCGTGTGGAAGGTATCTGTCAAGTGCCCTGGTTGCTGGGGACACAGCAATGGACATGGAGCCTGCATTTCCTGGGGACACAGGCGACAAGCAGCCAGTCCACGTGGGTGTGAAGTGCAGTGACGAGCAGGAAGCCGGGCAGTGGGGGTGAAGTTCCCCATCATGGGGTTCAGGGGAAGTCCTTAAGAAGGACCTTGAGCAGAGCAGCAAGTGGGAGGGGCTTGGGCGTCCTGAACCTGGGAGCGGTCAGGGGGCAAAGATGCTGAGAGGCCGTGGGGGCTGCTTGGGGCTCTGGGTGCAGGGGCTGACCTGGGGCGGGGTGCTGACCGTGGGGAGCAGTGCCCAGGAGGTAGTGTGGGACTGGGCTGGGCTGGGCTGTGGGAAGCACTGCTGCTTGGTTGTCCTCAGGAAACTTGCTGGCCCCCGAGTGTGGCACCCATGTTGCCCGCCTGTCCTAACTGCTGCCCTGCCCACCCCTGCACCTTTGCCCTCCCCATCCCCAAGGGAGCCCCCAGACCAGCCTTTGGTCCCCAGGGGTAGGGCTGGGGTCTGGAGAAGAAGCTGTCTGTGGGTGAGC